CATGGGAATCACTTCACACCTGGAAGTCTTGGTAGTGTATACTAGGTCTGGGGAACCTTTGTAAATCTGAAGGCCACATTCCTTTGGAAAACTTCCAGGTTTCTCATATCATTGGGGGATGGGTAAAAGGTAAAGGACCCCTGACAGTTAAGTCTAGTCGCAGACAACTCTGGGATTGCAGCACTCATCTCGCTTTACAGGCCGAGGGAGCCGGCATTTGTCCAGAGAGTTTTTCCAGGTCATGTGGCCAGCATGACTAAGCTGCTTCTGGTACAACGGAACACCAAAACCAGAGCAGCGCACGGAAATGCTGTTTACCTTCCCACCAGAGCGGTACCTATTTATCTACTTGCACTAGTGTGCTTTCGAACTGCTAGGTTGGCAGGAGCTGGGACCGAGCAATGGGAGCTCACCCTGCCGTGGGTATTCGAACCACCGACCTTCCAGTTGGCAAGCCCAAGAAGCTCAGTGGTTTAGACCACAGTGCCACCTGCTTCCCTTGGTGGATGGGAGCTAGAGGCAAAAGTAGGCAGTGCAGTGGATGTGACTCTTATGCAGACTAGCATCACAGGTTTCTACCCGCACACCTCCCTCCATTCAGGAAAGCAAGATGATTTATCACTGTTCAGGTACAATTCAGCCAGGCAGAAGATCAAGCAGGATACAGAGCTTGCCTGGAGAGAAGTGTGGACTCTCTTGACTTGACTTTTCAACTTCCTATTTACCAGTCCTCTCATTCTGGGAAGTTTCCTCTTTTGAAATCAAACGTGACCATGTTGGATTTCTGGTCAATTGGAAATTTACAAGTCGCCCATTTCTAAATTTTCTCATTTGGATGTTTCCTTGATTTAAGTCTTGATCTCAAGATCTCCCCAAGCATTTTAATCAGGGGGACAATAGCATGTTCTCAGCACTAAAGTACTCTTGGGGCCCAGTATGGCCACCCACAACAATTCTGTGGAGGAGCCTGCCTCTTTTTGGATTTCTATCTTGCTGGACTCAGTGCCTTCTTTGACATACATAGTTAACACCACCTCCCTTCTCCTTATCAGCTGCCCTTCTCTGTTCTTCCTATAGAGTCTTATATCCTTAGATAATCAAGTCCTACTAGTTCCCTTCTTTCCACCAGGTTTCTGTTATGCTCACTGTATCAAAACCATCCTCTAAGACCAAGCATTCATCCATCTTGGCTTGGAGACTTCTAGCATTAGCGTATAAACACTTCTGTACAGTCTCTCTCTTCAAGTTGTCTTTAGCACATGAGCGCATGAACGCAAGGCTGTTCCAGATAGCAAACTCTCATGTGCTTTGTCCAGTCTACTTAAGAATGATTCAGGGACTGAGTAATCAACAGAAGTACAGACTTTATATTCCCCCATGTCCCCATGTATGAGGAGTTTAAGCCCCATACAATGAGTATGACTTGGTGATTTAATGGATGACAGAAAAATGACTCACCATTTATTTGGAAACAATAGCTTCCTTGGTTAACTGCTGCAGCAACTTCTGGTGCAGGAAAGGAAGTAAAACAGCATGTTGCTGTTTGCTGTGTGGAACAGTTGCTTTGAAATATTACACTGCGAGCTGCAAGATATTTGCTTTTTGCATGGACCGAAGAAGCCTCTGTATTCTGCAACATCTCATGGTCAGCTGGAAATAGCAGGCCTTGAAACCGAACCGTATGTATCACAAGGATTATTTTGAGAAAGGAAAACTCATCAGTTTGCTTCTGCTGAGCTCAAGCCTGGCAGTAAGCTAATAGGCAAAGATGAACTTGAGTATGTGTGCATTTGTGTTTGTTTAGAATACTTTTCTGATAGGTTTTAAGGTAAGAAAATGCTTCAGATCTCAAAGAGAATTTAAGACACCATCTTTCATCATCCTATGCATGGAACTAGCTGCAAGTTCTTACATAATATTTTAGTCTTATAATTGATGTGCTGTTAACTGTTGTTGATACAAGTGATGAAATATCCATCACCTAGAAGGGGGGTGGATGGATAGGATGGTTCATTTCATTTCTGGCTAACATCCACAAGCTGTGCTTACTCCATCTCTATTATTTGATTGGTCAGACAGGCTTCTATGACTTCAAAAAAGGCAGCTAGATCAGGAGGAAATGTTATGCAGTGTGTAACCACAGTTCAGTGAAGACAGACATCCAATATGACAAAATTCTTATGCAGGATGAAATGTTTTCATGTGTAACATTTTTTATGAGGGAGAAGGACCCATCGTACACTTAAGCCATTATTGGTGAAATACGGGAATGCTCTTCAAAGGATTACCCAAAAATCTGATATGGTTTTAGCTGTTAGTGTAAGGGCGTGGGGTGGAGGGCATTGATCAGAAACTTGTTTAGATGTCAAACTGGAACTAGAAGTAGGGATTGGAGGTAAGCTATGGGAACATGTGCATTCTCACCCCTCCATATTCCCATACTCCATTTTTCTTTCTACCTGGGTTTGATGTCATGTGTGGATACCTGGGTTTTAAAGTGGAACACTGCAACATTCCATTTGATACAATCTAGTCATGAGAATTTAGGATAACACCCATGATCAATGGGTGCATATATCCATTAGCTTAGAAAACCTAGTTCCTTTTACATCTGATCCAGCTCTTAGGAGATGTCATCTTTTGAGGATAAGGTCTGGAAAATGCTCAGTTAATAGGAAGGGAGCCCAGGCTGCTGAATACAAGGGACGGGGACTTTTTGTGTGGTGGCTCCATGGAATGTTTTACTCCATATATTCAACCACAGTCCCCAATGATAGTGTTTTAGGAAGACTCTACATAAGTTTATGTTCAGGGTTGTCTTCTGATAAATTTTGGCTCCCTTGAACTATGATGCATATTTTCTTTCCACTCTTGTGTCTAAGAGTAATAGTTTGCCCAACGAAAGAAAGAAGCATTTTCTTGTTTACAAACTGACTTTCGGTAGTTTCCTAGCAGATATTACTCTGTTTACGATTTTGCAATCTATGCAACTCACGCTGTGCAAAAACGTCCATGATTGCTTTTGCTTTGATTTATAGTTCTTTCTTGGTTATGTCTTCCACGAAAAAATTTAAGAAACAGTAAGTGGAAAATAAGTACAGATAATGAACTGTTTCCCCCGTGAAGTCACTCAGTAATAGTTGCCGTGTTTTGCCACGTTTGCAGAAAGGAAACATCAGAGATCCAGTGTTCATATGCCTCTGTTCAACCTAAAGAAATGGTGTAACGGTTGATCATCAGCAGTGTGTGATCTTTGCCTCGCAGAGGTCCTAATTTGCCAGTAGTGGTCCTAATTTGGCCAATGAGATCATTTCCTCCAAGCCACACCCACCTACATCACACCAGACATCATGTTAAGTCCATGGACTGAGAGCTGAACATTTCAGTATCTGATAAACTGGCAAAACTGAATTATGATTTCTTGAAAGCTGTATGTCTCTGGATTGTAATTTCATGTGATAGCCTGTTCTGAATGATTGCTTAAGCTTTTTACGGTGTCATTGAAAGGGCTGAAGCTTTCCTCACCCCTCTGTTTACTAATTTAAGCTATATGTGTGAACAAAAATTTAAATTTTTAGAACTGCTTTGGAAACCTAATAAATTTTCTTACAAATAACAAATTGTAATAATGTCCTCATCCATTATCATATTTGTGCTACAAGCCATATATCAAGAAAAGTTTTTCCCCTCATTTATATTCAATATAATACATGACTTTAACTAGATATGTATTTGAAGTGTATTACACAATTGTAGGGATCTCTTTTACCTTTCCTCTAAGTCATAATATGAATAAATTAATTTTGATATAGGGGTCAGCAAACGTTTTCAGCAGGGGGCCAGTCTATTGTCCCTCAGACCTTGTGGGGGGCCGGACTATATTTTTGGGGGGAAATGAATGAATCCCTATGCCCCACAAATAACCCAGAGATGCATTTTAAATAAAAGGACACATTCTACTCATGTAAAAACACGCTGATTCCTGGACTGTTCACAGGCCGGATTTAGAAGGCCTTAGTTTGCCTAACAATGCTATTACAGTTAGACGGATTTCAGTGTAAGCACATTTTATATAATTTTACACAATGCATGCAACTTTTATGTTATTGTTAAGAAACACCTAGTAATTTTTTTTAGTTCAGCAACTGTTCAATGTGCACATGCTTTTTATTTCGATATGCATATGTTATTTATTTACAAATGTTACCGTGTTATCATTTCCCAATGCCTAACATTTAATCATTTATTAAATTTAATTTTAATGCACGGCACCGTTGTAGTCATCGTCTGAATCCTCTGCAAAGTCCAAATTTGTTTTGTTTTCTGTGTGCTGCATGACTGCAGTTCGCACAGAACAGTGCAAGTAAGTGAATTGGATAGATATGAGCAGTTTGGAAACTGACAGGTATGCCCATACTTGCACAGCTACATTTCCCAAACTGCAGTGGGTGGTGCTGCTCTCTCATATCAATGCTCAAACACTTTGGAAGTGCTTGTCCTTGATTTTAATGTCCTTGCTTTTAAAGCTATACTCACCACTAGAATCTTGAATCATTTTATTGTATGCTCACAAAATATTTTTTTATTAGCTGGCAGTGTGTAATGGAACATTTTGAAAAGCTGTACCCCTCTCTCTACCTGAGACCTGCTTCTTAGATCTCAACTCTTTAAAACGAACTTTGCTTTACTTTACTTCAGCAGGAGATCTCCAGAGGAGCTCTGTTCTTGCAAGAGAATCCTGGTGGAGCCTTCGCTTTTAATGATAATTTTTAATTAATCCTTACATTTTTAATAGAACTATAACAAGTAGCATCTACACAGAATAAAATGCCTTTATGTGTTCCACAAAGCTTTGATGTGTCAATATATCTTTTTGCCTTCTTTATGATGCTCTTATTGATTAAGTGGGGTGCCTCCTAGTCTTTGGATATGGTTCGCTATGTTTCAATTAAAATGAAATACATATGTCATGTTTTGTTGCCATTGTTGTTGTTTTGCAGGGTTTGTTTCAAGCAGCTGGAACGTGGTGCCATGAGACAGTCTGTCATCCATGACGCATTGGGATTATCATGATCGAATACTCCACTTTGATTTTAACCAGTGGCCAAGAGCTTTGTATGGTCAGCAACAAGGACCGGACTTTTAAAGACAGTATAACAGGTAAGGCCCATGGTACTTGTTGCCTTCGTGGTATCTTCATAAGGCTTTAAAGAAAGGAACTTCAGCTAGTGATTCCGTTGCATATTGTTTTTCAGTTTCTTTGCTGTATCGGTGCAGCAGATGGCTTGACATAAAAGTTGTTGTTCTTTTACTGTGAGATCTCAGACAAGCATGTGTAGTTTAATGGATCCTTCTCTTCTTGAGCTGCACAAAGGTTAAAAAGAAAACACACATAAAAAGGTATAATAAAATTAATCACATAACCCAGAATGGCAGAATGGAGCAGACAGACATTATATTTACTGTCTCACTCATGCGATGACAAGGTAAATACTCGTTTAGCCATTTTAAAGAAAGTATTAGATTTGCCAGGTTAGAATACTTGCAGAAGCAATCACATTTGTGTTCTTTTTATATCCTCGTCAAACCGCCTTTGTACAAACACAGATGTGAAAAGCACATTTCAATTTCAGATTCACTATTACTGAATAGCGTTCTTTCCTCTCTTGTAAAATTGAAAGGTACCAATTTCTCTTATGTTCTCCCTTGTCAGTGCCTCTCACTCCATTCTCTGCCATCTCCTTGCCCTCAAATATTAAAACATTCCACAAGAGAAATCCTGAGGTCACTTTCAAATAAGCATGGTTATTATAGCACCACAATGTTAAACATTTATCAGTTTTTATCCCATGGGGCAGGGAAAGCGCTTTGAAAACCGGAAGGATTTCGTGATTTCATGATGAGGATATTTCAGAAAATTTCTAAGATTCCAAGAATCAAAGTGTTACCATGTGTCCTTGTCTGTACGTGTAATGTATTACACAGATATATATGAATGCCACATTTGGATCTTTAATCTACAGTTCTGCTGTAAAGGCAAGAGGATTACAAATAAGCTGGGAAACCTGAGTTTATTATGGAAATATTAAAGTGCATATACGTAAGTACATAGGCAGTATTTAGAGTGGGCAGGGCATTATTTAGCCAAATCTAAAAGGACATTGGAGAAGGAACTGGCAAACCACTCCAGTATTTTGGCAAGAAAACTCCATGGACATAAAAAAGGAGAAGCTTTGAGAAGAAAGTGAGAGTTTCCAAGGCATGCTCTGGTTCATGGGGTCACGGAGAGTCGAACACGACTTAGACGACTAAACAACAACAACAAAAAGACATTACCGTGGGGAATTGGGAAAGAAATGGAACAGCAATAGGAGGAGAGAATCTAATGCAAAATAAAGAGCTTGGGAAAGGATATGGGCAGATATGGGCAGGTTTAAAATTTCATCTGTGTAAAAGATTTCAGAAAGAGATCCTTTGGATTGTATCAAACCAAGTTTTACCCCAAGAATAGACACTTTGAAAATAATGGGCCTAAGTTAATCATGCCCATTAATTTCTATTGGTTTACTCCAAATATGTTGTAACATCAGATGCAATGCATTGTGTGGAATTTGGAGGAGGTGGGCAGAGTCATTTTAGAAACACATGTTTGGTGATACCTCTTCCTTTCCCAATGGCATGATCAAGAGTTTCCCATCTCCATTGCCATCTGGGAAACAGAAACTCTTTTGAAGGTGAGGGAATAAAAAACATTAATAATGAAATTTAGAAAATAGTGTCCCATTCAACTCTTGATCAACTCTTGTTACATTGGTCATCATGCTATAAGATACACAGAGCCGATCTGCCATTTGTTTGGTGCATCAACAGGAAGACTTTTGGCTGGTCCTGTTGTTCTCAGCTCTACAGGGACATATACCACTTGGATAAACTGGACAAAGCCCAGATGACATGTGATAAAATATAGGTTGCAAGAAGACCTGAACATAGACCAGATAGTTCTTAGTACAGTCATACCTTGGAAGTCAAACGGAATCCATTCGGGAAGTCCGTTTGACTTCCAAAACCAAATCACGGCTTCTGATTGGCTGCAGGAAGGTCCTGCAGCCAATGAGAAGCCGCAGAAGCCCCATCGGACCTTCGGGTTCCAAAAGAACGTTCGCAAACTGGAATAATCATTTCCAGGTTTACGACGTTCGGGAGCCAAAACGTCCGAGTTCCAGGGCATTCAATCTGTATCCAGATTCTTCTTGCAAAATGGCCACTCACTTGGAACTCCAGCGAAGCACAGTTTGTGACCTGGCGCAGCCGTGGCTCAGTTCTGAGGCCCTAGGGTCATGGTGCAACCATTGGAGAAATTGGGAGCCTCTCCCAGATGTCACCCGGTAAGGCTTGAAAGCCCATTTGAATGGGTCTATTGGAGTTGAGAAGGGGCATGGCTACAGCAGTGGATCTGTCTTCCTTTAGGTCCAAGAGAGGCAAGCCGCAGCAGGGCTTGGCCTGCTGAGATTGTCCTTAGATCCTCCACCCTCCTGACCTTTTTCTAAATGGTCCTGCCCAAAGGCAAGCAGGCAAGGCAACATGCAGACTCTGCTATGGAATATGGGAGGAATTTTTCCTGCAGACAAAGTGGCTGGTCTGCAGGTTTTTGCCTACCTGTTAGCAATCATCACAACTTTGAGTGGATAAGGTAGTGGGTTGCAACTTTAGCCTATTGGGTACCCTACTAAAGGGGTCTGGAAGGCATGTCTCTATCTGGGAGTCAGAGGGCCATAGTGCCCTTCCAAGTGGTGGCCCTGAAGGGCTCACCCTAATTTGATGTATGTCAGACCCACTATTCAGGGTTCTTGTCAACCAGCAGAAGGATTGCTTGTTATTTGATACCTTCCCAATGCCTTCACCAAAACCTAATTACATCTGAAATTTAAAAAAAAACTGTCATCTATTTCAGCAGAATACTGAGGTCCTGAGTCTCATTTCTACCTTGAGTCCAGGTGCACCTGCACCTGGGTCCCATGTTTCCTGCACCTGGACCCAAGGGGCGCTGGATCCTGGGGGCAGTGGCATTTTACCACACACCCCAGTTTTTAAGGAGGGAGCTGAGCCCCCTCAATATCCTTCTGCGATGTCAGCCTCAGTTGCAGCGCCATTGCTGGGCCCGCAATAGACCAATCCCGCTAACCTTTTTTCAGTGCTACCATTGATCTGTCTTATAAAGAAAGAGATAATTTAGTAGCAACAAATGGGGAAATATTGTCCATTTGCTGTACATCACTGCTTCAGGGGACATAAAACAATAATTACACCAAGAGGCAGCTTTATAAACCTCATTACAAGTCTATCATGCGTGTCCTCTGACTTCAAGATAAAATTATTCAGTTGAGTGTATTTGTCTCTGATATTTTCACCAAGGCAGTGCTGCATATGTGATACTTTGTTATTATGGAGGGTGCTTCTGATGGAGGAAAAATCGTCAAGCTGATGTCTGGAATAAGGCAACACATAATTTGAGAGGAAAACACATTGATTCTGTTGCCATTACTGAGAGGGGGTGCTGGGCGGGGGGGAAGGATGCTGAGAAAAGCCTTCTCTGAATTTGCCACCCCAGTCTCAGATAGTGAATTGCAAGGGAGGGCATTTCAGGGATGTTCGGGGATGGGAGGAAAATATACGCAGAGGTTTGCAATGGAAGGCTGCATGTTTATTTTACATGTGTGCTGAATGGAGGCAGCTTGACTTTCATGTTCTTTTTCCTTGGGAGGTGAAAGCGACATGGTTTGGCCTGCAAGAGCTCTTTCGGTACATGACTGGAGGCCACTGATTCCCGCCCTGGGGTTTACAAACCTGATTGATGGTTAATAACTTCTTACATCCCATGTGTGTGTGTGCAGAAAACAAGGTCTGCTCACATAATGGAACTTTCCCCCTTCCCCAACCCGGGCACACCCTAGACCTGTTCCGGGGTTTCCGCAACCCTCCAGTGCAGATTTAGAGGACATAGGGGGAGGAAAGAGAGCAAGGGGAGTCCTGCTTTGTGAATAGACCTCACTCCTTGCACACTACAATTTAGTTTAATCCCACCCTAAATTAGGGTGCCAAATGTGTTTCTTCACAAAAATTCCAAAAGAATGTCCAGTTTAGATGCTTACATATTGGTCAAATGATACCATGCTCGTAATGTGGACTGCAGAAAGTGATATTTATGAATTACAGTCGTACCTTGGATCCCGAACGCCTTGGTTCTCGAATGTTTTGGTTCCCGAATGCCGCAAACCCGGAATTGAGCGTTCCGGTTTGCGAACATTCTTTGGAACCCGAACGTCCAACAAGGCTTCCGTGGCTTCCGATTGACTGCCGGAGCTTTGGTTTCTGAATGTTTTGGAAGTCGAACGGGCTTCCGGAACAGATTCCATTTGACTTCCAAGGTACGACTGTAACAGAATTGTACAGCTAACCCAAACTCCTGCATATTGGGCCACCACTGTCACAGATTACATTATAAACTTAGAAAAGGTATGTGTTTCTACCTGTTTCACCGCCAGAGAAACAAGGTCTTTGGCCCAGGTAGGAGACTGAACTAGGTCTCAGAACGCCTGGGAGCCTCATGTAAGTCGGTTTCCCACTAAGGTATTAGCTAGGCTGAAGTTTACTTGGCTTTAACATAATTGAACATTTCCTTTAGACCTTCCTTGATAGCTGTTTTAAGAGCTTGTTATATGAGAGGACACTTTTTATCATCTTTGAATTGTTTTTAGGGCTATTTTCTTAGTATCATACTTTACATAAATTGCTTTGAGACTCCTTTCATTTGTGTGGTATTGTTGTTGTTGTTGTTGTTGTTGTTTAGTCGTTTAGTCGTGTCCGACTCTTCGTGACCCCATGGACCAGAGCACACCAGGCACCTCTGTCCTCCACTACTTCCCGCAATTTGGTCAAACTCATGCTGGTAACCTCGAAAACACTATCCAACCATCTCGTCCTCTGTCGTCCCCTTCTCCTTGTGCCCTCCACCTTTCCTAGCATCAGTGTCTTCTCCAGGGAGTCTTCTCTTCTCATGAGGTGGCCAAAGTACTGGAGCCTCAGCTTCACGATCTGTCCTTCCAGTGAGCACTCAGGGCTGATTTCCTTAAGAATGGATGCGTTTGATCTTCTTGCAGTCC